ATTTTTAGACTTTAGTGGAATTATTGTCCAAAAGAGGAAGTCGAATCTCTGGAGTGTAAATTTTAGTGATTGTATCTCCTTGTTTGCATGTTCTCCCTGTGTTCTAGTCATTTAGCTACAACATTTTAGCCTTTTTTTTAGTTTTTTTTTTTTTTACTTTTACCCATTGAGATTATGAACCTCTTTTTCAAGGGAGTCCTGGACAAAAGTTGCACACAGTTACAGATTATAAAAACAGTCACATACAATTTCATAAAATTACAGATTATAAAAACAGTTACATTTCAATCAGGATGTCTCAAGTGCTCTCAATCTGGAGCTAAAAGCAAATTCAGATAATTTCCAGTCTACATTACATTTTAGCCATGGCTGTAAATAATGTTTCAAATAAATAGATAAATAATTCTGGAGACATTTGCGACTGTCCCGTTTTTCAGTCCTAATAGTTATAATCATAATATATAGTGATTGTCATCCCTGAAACACAGTCACATGTGAGAGAAATCGCTGTGAGAGGTGCTGTCGTCCCCTCAGCTCTGGGCCCGGTCTCTGAGGAGCTGTCCGTGGTGCTGAACTGTAATGTATGGAACTGTCCACGCTGCTGGAGGTTCGGGAGCGAAACTGCACTTCGATTTCCGTCTGCGCGCCTCCGAGGGGAATACTGCTCATCTGAAACTCCACATTGAACTTTTAAAACGCGCCTCTTTTTGCCGCAGATTTTCCTTTTTAGCTCCGAGGCATAAAGCAGCGCACGCAGAGCTGTCACTGAACCGTCTGAAGTCGTCAAACTGTTCACAGATATGGGGAATTTATCACAGCTCAGAGAATGTACAGCGTAAGTGGAGCTCTGTGGAGACAAAAGGGAGAAGACTGACACACTTCTCACATCCAGGACTCTTGAAGAAGGAAGTCTATAGTTTGTAAAAAAGACATACAATTAAATGTAGTAATGAAATATTCTGTTTGTGTATAGAGATTTCTAGTTTGGAATTGCAAAAACACATATTATTATTTTCTATTGTGAATCAGACAAGGAGCTAATCGCATTCAAATGTGCAGATCGTTTGGCCTTAACTCACAAAAATTCTGAAACTACTTGAACTCTCTGATTTTGACTGATCCCATTTAAAACAGTTTGTGTGTTTGTTTTCCATCCATCCATCCATCCATTTTCTTCCCCTTAATCCATTTCTGGGTCGGGGGGGTGGCAGTCAGAGCTGCACCCAGTCACAGAGCACCAGCCCCTCACTGATCCTCCTGCAGGTGGTGAGTCCACAGGAGCTGAGATCTTTCAGTGGGAGCTTCAGGCAAAGTGGGGTTAAGTGTCTTGCCCAAGGACACAACGACAGCAGTCATCAGTGGGAGTCGTGAAGTAGGTCTTACGGTGGGCTTGAACCCACAACCTTCAGGCCCAAAGGCCAATGCTCTACCAACTGAGCTACTGTCGCCCCGTGTTTGTTTTCCACAAGTTTAATTAAAAATGACTTTTTCATAAGGTTTTTTACTGGTTAATATTACTTGAAATACAATTAGGGTTAGTTTAAAATACATAAACAGTTTGTTGCATGTTATCAGTGTGTTGCTATGGAAACAAGTGCTACTCTCTGGTGTAAAACCAAACACCAAACCTGACTCGGTTCAGGACCAGAGCCAGTCCAGGACCGCTCACTCTGCCAAACGACTGAAAAATTGGATAGCAGTCAAAAGATTTAAAAATGAAAACATAATTTCATCAAAGGGTCTGGATTTCAGAGAACTGGATGTTACAAACCCGGATTAAAGATGTGATAAGTGACTTTATTATATGATATTAACCACAACTAATTGATTATTGAAACATTTCTAGTAATTACTTCATAATGTTTTTTACACAGAGAGTTAAGCAGTGAAAATGACGTCTAACCGAGATGTAATTAAGATAAGAATATAACACAAGATGGCACGGTGGCTGAGTGGATAGCACTCTCGCCTCTCAGCAAGAAGGTCCTGGGTTCGAATCCCGGTCGGACCAGGGCCTTTCTGAGTGGAGTTTGCATGTTCTCCCCGTGTCTGCGTAGGTTTCCTCCGGGTACTCCGGTTTCCCCTACCACTAAAAATATGTCCAATAGTTCTAGCATGCGCCTCCTGTACTGGCCCCGCTCCCATCTCTGTGTGGAGTGAGAGACAAATGCCCAAAATTAACAATTGTAAACCGCTTTGAGACTCAGATCTGCAGTGAAAAGGCGGTATATAAATAAAAACTTACTTACTACTACAAGATAAGATGACAAATACTTTCTTTGTCCCACAGCGGGGAAATGTCAGTGTTGCAGCGCACAGACAGGACAGTAGTAAACACACACAACATGCAATATAAGAAGCTGCTATGTTTCTGAGCTGGTATCGATATATCTCTCTCTCTCTGTAAATATTTTAATGTTATGTTATGTACATACAGGGCAGGATCAGTAGATGAAGTGACATTACTGCAGAATCACATACTTATATATTTATACTTAACAAAAACTCGCCCATAATGAGTTCTCCAGTCACATGATTTTTGCTCTGTTTTTTAATGAATGAGTTACTTTTCTTATCTGAACACATTCCCAGATTACAGCTCACCCCGCTCTCCCTCCGCCTCAAACATCGAACGCATATTTACACAGAGCCGTTGTTCTAATCTCATCACCGCATCTTTTATGGTTTAGGAGGCGGCCGTGGCAGATGCTCCACATGTTTATCGCTAAATGTGCTTTGTTTGAGCTCTTAATAACCATGAGCCGAAGTCATTCTGCTCCAAAACCATAATCATAATTATTTATCCATTTAGTCAGTATCATTTAGACAAACAGGGGAAAACGCCCCATTATCTAATAGGATTTAAACGGCGAGAAAAGTCATTTGGAAATTAGCGATGGCATCAGATCTTTGGTGTTTGCCTTCATTAGCGGCGTTGTCATCTCCTCACTGTCTTTATTAGCATTTGTTAATTTGTAAACGAGAATTTCATTACTTTGAAAATGCTGTGTTTATAATAGTTTTATAGCATGGCCTTATCCATCCGTACACTCTATTCAATCATTATGTCCTGCGTGTAGCGTCTGGGTCTAGTCCCTGTGTTAGAGATTATCGGAGAGATAATCGGTTGAATTTTGACCGACCAATCAGAGAGCGTGGGAGGCGGGTGTTGTAGTTAGTTGTGGGTGACGTCAAGAGTTTGCGTCGAACGGGCCGGTTGTAGTTTGGTAATGGCAAAGAATGCGATTGTAAAGTATGGTCTGGTTCTATCAAGAAACCGAAGCCGGAGCAAGAGGAATGTTTAGCAAATGTAATCGCTGGTAAAAATTGTGGCGCTACTCCCCACAGGCTCTTAGCGGAAAAGGAGATGGCTAGGCTAAATGCTAGCAACAGACTCGGGCGCACTATATACGTCAGGATGAACTCAGATCCAATCGTTTCAATCTGCAAAAGAAGTTAACCCCTCCCCCCTGTTAACGGACCATAGTACGAAATGTAATTAGTACTATGGTGTGGTACGACCAGGCTAATGGATGATCTATGTTTTTTTCTGATTGGAATTCAAAACCTAGTGAGGAGTAATGAGTTTAAAGAGCCAATAAGCAGTTGCCGGGTAAAACTGTACCTGCCCTGGCACAAAAATATGTTTTTGAGTTTTGGCCTGAAATCTGCCTCTGTCTGCCCACAGTAGGAATGTCAAAAGTATTACTAGTATTCAGTCATACTAAAACTAGTATAGAAGTAAGATTGTAGTCAAATCAATGCTGGGCAGCACGGTGGCTGAGTGGATAGCACTCTCACTTCTCAGCAAGAAGGTCCTGGGTTCGAATCCCGGTAGGAACAGGGTATTTCTGAGTGGAGTTTGCATGTTCTCCCTGTGTCTGCGTAGGTCCTCCGGGTGCTCCGGTTTCCCCTACCACTAAAAACATGCACAATAGCTCTGGCATGCGCCTCCTGTACTGGCCCCGGTCCCATGTCTGTGTGGAGTGACAATCGTAAACCGCTTTGTGAATCTGGTTTGTGAGTGGCGGTATATAAATAAAGATTACTTACTTACTACTAAAAATAATTACATAAAAACCACCTCAAGACCTACTTCATGACTCCCACTGATAACTGATATCGTTGTGTCCTTGGGTAAGACACTTAACCCCACTTTGCCTGTAGCCCCCGCTGAAAGATCTCAGCTCCTGTGGACTTAGCACCTGCAGCAGGATCAGTGAGGGGCTGGTGCTCTGTGGTGTGGGTGCAGCTCTAACTGCCACCCTCCTGACCCAATTAAGGGGAAGAAGATGGATGGATGGCATGGAGAAAGCAAAGGAAGGTTTCTCACCCATCATCTGTACTTCTTAGCAAGTTTTCCCACAGAGAACATTTTATATTTTTGATAATTTCTAAACACATTTTATAGGAAGAACTTGGCCCCTAGCAATGTGTGCTCACATAGAGTTAAAAGTTACAGTACAGATGACAACAGCTGTCCACAAGGCTCAGTCCTCGGTCCTTTACTATTCACTAATATCCCTGGGTTCATATTCAAAAAGTCAATACAAAAACTACCCTACTTTTAATCCATCTTCTCTTCCACTCCAACTCTCACCTTGATGTTTACATTAAATATGGCATTAGGCTAAATATAGAAAAGCAGTTGTTTTTACTCGTCCAACTCTTGCCGTTTTTTACTCACAAAAACCATATACGTTTCAAATCTTTGAGCCTTTGAGCTGAAGCAACACAGACAATCTCTTGAAACAGCCGCGACCCACTGCTGTGTGCGGCCCCTGAAATGGAAAATCCAAAAAGGAGCATTCCATCCTTAAATGTCTCTGTTAAAACCTGTCCATTCACCTTGAGATAAAGCTCGCACCAACCTGGCGCTCTATCCTGCCCTGTCCCCGTTGTGTCACACCTCGTTCTCCTCTTTACATCACCTGATTTAATAAAGAGCAATAGGATTACAAGGTGCGCTGTGATCAGAGGGGGTCCGGGCGCACGGGGGATTAGCGAGCGCCATTTGAAGTTAGCGCGCCGCGGTTTAAGCCGTCATAAAGCCACCCAGTTTCATCAGCTCCTCTACCTCCACACGCCGCCCGAGTCACGGCCTCTTCATGGCGTGGATCCGGAGCTTTGATCCGCGCCGACGCTTAAAGACGACACACTGAGTGAATAGGAAAATGGTCTGATTGAAATGATTTGCTGAAAAGTGGAGGAATGTGTGTGATTTCAGGCGTTGAAGACGAGACGAGACGTGTTCTGGGTCACGATGTATAGAGGGTGTCTGAGTGTAGATAGGGCTATGAAAAGGGGTCGTGCCATTTTCAGTAAAAAGGTAGTGCACTAAAATGTCCAGTAGACCGGTCAATATTGAACACTGAGCGGAAGGGAAAGATTCTTTATGTCAAGTGAATTAACATAGAACAAGCTGTTTTAACATAGATTACTCAAGAATGGCCATTAAAGTCACTCTTATTCTCAATGTATTTAAACAGTTTGTAGAGTTTTTGCAGAACATGTGCATCATGTTGACCCAGTACAAATACAACAATCATAAAATACAACCCAAACAATAATATAGTAGTAACAAAACCAAAAATATGGGTACAACTAAATCAATACATTACATCCTGCACCTCTTATTACCACCATTCACATCATATTCACTTTACAGGATAATCTTCTGTACATTTTCTTCCGCTTTATCCGTCGCCTGAGCTTAGACACCCCTCTCCGCTCCCTCCAGCTCATATTGTTTTGCACATACTAGGTCTTGTCTCGGTCTCGTCTCGGTCTTGGTCCCCAAACACATCTCCAGGGCTAGGGTTAGGAGAAATCCGAAACCGATCTAAAATCACATTTACTGACTTGAAATAAATGAACAAAACCAAAGACCCCTCTTTTTTAATTCACATTGACATTATAATTTGAGTTTTAATGCATCCCCCATTAAGTTCTATCACTTAATTCCCAATTTGCAGAGCGACAGATGCAGCCGCCTCAGCGTGAGGCTTAATGCAGGCAACAATCCACGCGGGAGAGCTCATTGGCCGGAGTACGAATCCATTAGCTTCCTGGTAGTGGTTAAATATGGAGGAATGACTCATTTTATGTCTGATTACCTCCTAATGCGGCTTAATACAGGCGCCTAAACAATGGCCGCCTCTCTGTCCCGAGATAACGCCTACAGGATAAGGCTCCTATCACTTGTTCCCCGCTGAAGTTCTATTAAAAATGCAAAAAAATTGTCTTGGTTTTTGATTACGGGCGACTCTCTTGTCAGTGGAATGTCTTCATTATCGAGTCCGAGCAGAGAGGACGGGCTCATTGGCTTTCCGAAGCTTAATTTCCCCTCCACCGGCGATTATGCCTCCCGCGTTTTGTGGATGTGGCGCAGACGAGCAAGTCATTTTCAATATGCACGCGGGATTAGAAAGGTTAATCGTCAATTTAAAACTAATCTTTGTTAAGTAGCAATAGCAGCGTGGGGTGCGCGGGTTGATATCGCCAAGCAACGGCAAAAACAGACGGCGGGAAAGGTGTGAGTTAATGCAATTCAGCAGCGTTTTTTAGATTTTTGAATCAGTTGTGACTAAGATGAAAATAATGTCGGGTTTTTCAAGGAATGTCAATGTGATGTTGAGCTTTTGTCTACAACTTGGGTGATACAAGTTTAAAGGACAAACATTATTCGACTGTGTCTTTTTAGAGACATGGATCTGATTTTAGCCCCAACCGCTCCATCTTCAGGAACTCCAGAAAACGGCAGAGTCAGGTCCCTTCATTCATTTTGTCTTAATATAAGTTATCCCTACAATATTACAGCTGGAGTCACTATCTTTGAAACCCACCAAAAAATAACTGATATAAAATTCTATATGCAACTACTTCCCCGCTCTCAAAACTAGACTCAAAACACAAAACATTTCTAAAACAAACCTCTGGACCAAACAAACCTCTGGACTAAACAAACCTCTGTACTAAACAAACCTCTGTACCAAACAAACCTCTGGACCAAACACACCTCTGGACCAAACACACCTCTAGACCAAACAAACCTCTGTACCAAACAAACCTCTGGACCAAACAAACCTCTGGACCAAACAAACCTCTGTACCAAACAAACCTCTGTACCAAACAAACCTCTGTACCAAACAAACCTCTGGACCAAACACACCTCTGGACCAAACAAACCTCTGTACCAAACACACCTCTGGACCAAACACACCTCTAGACCAAACAAACCTCTGTACCAAACAAACCTCTGGACCAAACAAACCTCTGTACCAAACAAACCTCTGTACCAAACAAACCTCTGGACCAAACACACCTCTGGACCAAACACACCTCTGGACCAAACACACCTCTGGACCAAACAAACCTCTGGATCAAACAAACCTCTGGACCAAACACACCTCTGGACCAAACACACCTCTGGACCAAACACACCTCTGGACCAAACAAACCTCTGTACCAAACAAACCTCTGGACCAAACAAACCTCTGGACCAAACACACCTCTGGACCAAACACACCTCTGGACCAAACACACCTCTGGACCAAACAAACCTCTGTACCAAACAAACCTCTGTACCAAACAAACCTCTGGACCAAACAAACCTCTGGACCAAACACACCTCTGGACCAAACAAACCTCTGGACCAAACAAACCTCTGTACCAAACACACCTCTGGACCAAACACACCTCTGGACCAAACACACCTCTGGACCAAACACACCTCTGGACCAAACAAACCTCTGGACCAAACAAACCTCTGTACCAAACAAACCTCTGGACCAAACAAACCTCTGGACTAAACACACCTCTGGACCAAACACACCTCTGGACCAAACACACCTCTGGACCAAACACACCTCTGGACCAAACACACCTCTGGACCAAACAAACCTCTGGACCAAACACACCTCTGGACCAAACAAACCTCTGTACCAAACAAACCTCTGGACCAAACAAACCTCTGGACCAAACAAACCTCTGGACTAAACACACCTCTGGACCAAACACACCTCTGGACCAAACAAACCTCTGGACCAAACAAACCTCTGGACCAAACAAACCTCTGGACCAAACAAACCTCTGTACCAAACAAACCTCTGGACCAAACACACCTCTGGACCAAACAAACCTCTGGACCAAACAAACCTCTGGACCAAACACACCTCTGGACCAAACACACCTCTGGACCAAACAAACCTCTGTACCAAACAAACCTCTGGACCAAACAAACCTCTGGACCAAACAAACCTCTGGACCAAACAAACCTCTGTACCAAACACACCTCTGGACCAAACACACCTCTGGACCAAACACACCTCTGGACCAAACAAACCTCTGGACCAAACAAACCTCTGGACCAAACACACCTCTGGACCAAACAAACCTCTGTACCAAACAAACCTCTGGACCAAACAAACCTCTGGACCAAACACACCTCTGGACCAAACACACCTCTGGACCAAACAAACCTCTGTACCAAACAAACCTCTGTACCAAACAAACCTCTGGACCAAACAAACCTCTGGACCAAACACACCTCTGGACCAAACACACCTCTGGACCAAACAAACCTCTGTACCAAACACACCTCTGGACCAAACACACCTCTGTACCAAACAAACCTCTGTACCAAACACACCTCTGGACCAAACACACCTCTGGACCAAACACACCTCTGGACCAAACAAACCTCTGGACCAAACAAACCTCTGTACCAAACAAACCTCTGGACCAAACAAACCTCTGGACCAAACAAACCTCTGGACTAAACACACCTCTGGACTAAACAAACCTCTGGACTAAACACACCTCTGGACCAAACAAACAAACCTCTGGACTAAACAAACCTCTGTACCAAACAAACCTCTGGACCAAACAAACCAAAACACGTAACTATCTGTGAAGTTCGTAACCTTCTAAATATAGCATGAACGCTAACAAAGCCCTCAGAGAGTCGCAGTGACCCGCTTTGGCCTCTAAATCAAACCAACGCTGATGAAATATGTTTTATTTTCGTCCCACTTCTTTGTGAAGCTCTGACTAATGACACTGTGTATTCGCCCGGCTGCATTTGGCTTGTTAAATTCTATCAGCAAATAAAATGTTTCCCAATATTCTCGATGTGCCAGGATCTGAAAGTGTCTGTCGTTGTCATTCTGATGCAGAGAGGGATTTAAAGAGAAAGGTTATTAAAGCTGGGTTACCTACATTTGCATTTGTAAATCATGCATTGTGTTAATCACAACAGAACGAGTCGCTTAAAATGTTGTGAATAAGTCTGATCTGATTGGCTGAGTGAGGGTGGTCCTCTCTCTTTCTCATTTTTAGGTCTTAAAAAGATGTGACAGAGGCTAAAAAGTACACAAATGTGAAAAATAGCCAGGAACTATGGATTTGAATACTCACCACATTTTTTTGCGATTTGATATTTACTAACCACAGACTTAAAGAAGCAGTATGTACAAATGTGGCCAAAAGTGGTACTGCAGCCTCTCCCACTCTCCCTGACTCAGGTTGCCAGATATGCAGACGAATCCAGCTGGGACCATAACAGCTGAATAGACAAGAGTTTTGTCAACAACAAATCTATAACCAACACCTTTTTCACAAAGATAGAAATCCTGGTTTTATTCCTTGTTTTGTCGTTAATGATTTGAGAATCATAAAGAGACCGTTTTTAGTTCTGCGCCACATGGTACTTTACCAGTGAGATTAGCTCCACGCGGTGAGTTCCCAGATTACAGACTTTCAGATTGATTTAGAGGCTGTAAAATTCATTTTGGAATTCAAATATCTCTGAACGACTGTGTTCATTTAAAGAAGTGTTGGAAAAGAGCATGTTTTATTAATGCCTTGTGACAGATTAGGGCCCTTTAATGATGACTTGACATGAAAATCTTACATATTGCTACTTTTTGTTCTTGGTTTTGACCTGGTTTCTTTGGTTAGAAGAGGCTACATAATGCACTCAAAGAAATGCTTTTGTAAATACATATTGAAACTCTGCAAACACTGCTGCTCAAAATACTGTAAGCACGGAGGGAAAGATGAACAAAAGGTCACAGAAAAGCAAGAACGTAAATAAGGTAAACACTTAGGTGGCTACAATGTCTGCGTGAATGAATGAACACATCAACCCAGCTCATAATGACTCAAAATGAGATCCACCAAAATAATTGAGGAAAACATTAAAGGGTTAATTCCCTCCATCGTTCGTCGTTCTCTGACTCTGTAACCTTGAAGTAAAACAGTCTTCCCCACACAACATGCTCCATCTTTTCTCTGCCTCTTTGTCTCCATGGATCGCACACAAAACCAGAACTGAGCAGAACCAGAGCCGCCTTCACTTTGCCTGAGAAATAGAGCCACTAATTGGAGTATTTTTCCAGCAGGCAGTGACCGGGCACTGGGTCCGGCACATTATCTGCTCTGGTTCAACGTGCTGCCAACTCCGATAATTAAAATTTGAGCTCATTTGCCTGAGGCTCCATCTTCATATTTGTCTAAGGTGGCCATCCATAAACCCAGGCCAGAAATAAGACAGTATTATTAGGCTTTATGGTGTCGGCCGGTAATGAATTTAGTCTAATATCCGTGTGTAAATATGACCGAGCGAGCGGCTGTGCGTGAAGAGGCCAGATTCAAAGCACTCATTTAAACAGTGGTCAGATTTTTTTTTGTTTTTTTTTAGGCCCGAGTAACAGCTTCTGCCTTTATATATCAGTAATTATAGTTGATTAGCAAGTATAAAAGTGATACTCGAGTAATTTGAATTAGGTGTAGAAGCAGTGGGAGCGGTTGGCTTTGCAATCACGGCTAAAAAGTATCCATTGCCTGCCATGATGTCTTCTGTCTGAGGTGATTTCAGTCCATTATCTCTTGACTCGATTGGGGATAACAGGAGAACAAAAAAAGCTAAAAACAAACGTCTTTTTGCTGCGGAAAGTAGTCAGTCCAGTCTTTCAGAACCTGGAATTCAGATCTCATATATTTATAGCACACAATATTCTGTTGGTCTTGAATATCAGGGAAAATCCTCAAAAACGGCTGGCAGGCAATGAGTTAATTATGCAATACAATACAACAAGAAAATACACACAAAAATCAAAATGGAGTAGGTACACTGCAAAAAGTGATGAAATAATAATGAAATAATAATAATGTGTGTTGTTGTTATTATTATTATTATTGTATGTATTGTTATTATTATTATTATTATTATTGTTATTGTTATTATTATTATTATTGTTTTTATTGTTATTATTATTATTGTTGTTATTATTATTATTATTATTGTTATTATTATTATTATTACTGTTATTGTTATTGTTATTGTTATTATTATTATTGTTATTGTTATTATTATTATTATTGTTATTATTATTATTGTTATTGTTGTTATTATTATTATTATTATTATTATTGTTATTATTATTTTTATTGTTATTGTCATTATTATTATTATTGTTGTTATTATTTTTATTATCATTGTTATTGTTATTATTATTATTATTATTATTATTATTTGTATTGTTATTATTATTATTATTATTATTATTATTATTATTGTTATTATTATTATTATTATTATTATTACCACTACTTTCAAACAGCCGATGCCTTCTGACCCTCTATCCAGCAAACCCACCCTCTTCCCCATAAACTCTGTGTCTTTGGGGTAAGACCCGTCCCTCCCTCTGATCTCTTTTGTTTTATTTTGCAGTTAAAAGTTTCTCCTTTCCCCTCAGAGTGCGATACGATTAACCCGGGACACGACGTTGCATTTCCTATTAACTTGAACCATTCGAGGCAGGAATCTAACAATAATGGGAAATAGAATCAGCAGCTCACCTTAATGGCTGAAGTCGGTAATTCCACAGACAAGCCAGACTCCTTTAATAAAGATAAGCCTCCAGGAAAATCAATAGGACAAACTCATTTCCAAACGCCTGAGACCTGTTTCCACTGAGAGAAAACCCAGACAGCAAATGGTTAAAGTCGTTAAAGAAGTGGAAATCTGTTTGTTTTAATTGTGCCTCGTTTTGGGGAAAAACCAATCCCAGAAAATGGGTTTGTTTTGATTTTTGCCTTTTCCTCGATCACGTCTTGTTTTAACTCAGCCGCTTCACAATCATCATCAAACAGTAGTATATGTAAAAATGTATCTTTAGAAGAGTTTAAGTAGAAAACTTTGGAAAAGATTTCAGAAAATACATGCAGAAATATTAATAATAATAAAAAAAATATGTATTAATGGTAAAAATAATTGGTAAATGGTAAATAAATGAAAAAATAAATGAAAAAAGTCCAGTGGAAAAACTCAAACCTCCAAAAGAAACAGGAAAAAGACAGACATGGACAATGGGCTAAAAAAAGAGGAGCACAGGTACATATAGTCACAGAGAGACACAGGTACATGTAGACACAGAGAGACACAGGTACATATAGTCACAGAGAGACACAGGTACATGTAGACACAGAGAGACACAGGTACATATAGTCACAGAGAGACACAGGTACATATAGACACAGAAACACAGGTACATATAGACACAGAAACACAGGTACATATAGACACAGAGAGACAGAGGTACATATAGACACACAGGTACATAAATACACAGAGACACAGGTACATATAGTCACAGAGAGACACAGGTACATATAGACACAGAGAGACACAGGTACATATAGAAACAGAGACACAGGTACATATAGTCACAGAGAGACACAGGTACCTATAGTCACAGAGACACAGGTACATATAGACACAGAGACACAGGTACATATAGACACAGAGAGACACAGGAACATATAGAAACAGAGACACAGGTACATATAGACACAGAGAGACACAGGTACATATAGACACAGAGAGACACAGGTACATATAGACACAGGTACATATAGACACACAGAGACACAGGTACATATAGAAACAGAGACACAGGTACATATAGACACAGAGACACAGGTACATATAGACACAGAGACACAGGTACATATAGACAGAGAGACACAGGTACATATAGACACAGACACACAGGTACATATAGACACAGAGACACAGGTACATATAGACACACAGAGACACAGGTACATAAATACACAGAGACACAGGTACATATAGACACAGAGAGACACAGGTACATATAGACACAGAGACACAGGTACATATAGACACACAGAGACACAGGTACATATAGACACAGAGAGACACAGGTACATATAGACACAGACACACAGGTACATATAGACACAGAGACACAGGTACATATAGACACACAGAGACACAGGTACATATAGACACAGAGACACAGGTACATAAATACACAGAGACACAGGTACATATAGACACAGAGAGACACAGGTACATATAGACACAGAGAGACACAGGTACATATAGACACAGAGACACAGGTACATATAGAAACAGAGACACAGGTACATATAGACACAGAGAGACACAGGTACATATAGAAACAGAGACACAGGTACATATAGACACAGACACACAGGTACATATAGACACAGAGACACAGGTACATAAATACACAGAGACACAGGTACATATAGACACAGAGAGACACAGGTACATATAGACACAGAGACACAGGTACATATAGACACAGAGACACAGGTACATATAGACACAGGTACATATAGAAACAGAGACACAGGTACATATAGACACAGAGAGACACAGATTAAAAACATTAGGGCAGACAATCATTGGGTAAACAGGAAGTCAAATTAAAACAAAGAACATAGAAACAATGGTGTAATGACAGTGCACTAGCCAGACCCACTGTAATAAGACTTTTTTAATTTATTTTTTTAATCAAACTATAATTAGTGAAGCTGGGACCTCTGTTTAAAAGCACATAACAATAACCAGAACTTTTTTTTCCGGCCTCGTTTTTGTGAGACCCGGCCCCTGACGACTCGACACAGATGTCCTTTCCGTGCTCCTTTAACACCTCCCATTAGGGCCGTGCTGCTTGCTCCACAAACTTCTCTAATTAAAAATTCGTCTTCTGCAAATCCACCCATAAAACGAGGCTGGAGCGCGCGGACGAGGGCGATAAAGGCGGTTACGAGGCCCGCGACCCGCTCCGGCTCTTATCTCTCATAAACACTTGAGTTGGTTTTACGCGATGGAGAGGACAGACTGATGACTTATTCATGCACACGGCGAGAAGAGGACGCGGCTTCACGGAGATGCTTCACTCCCGAGACGTGTGGATGGGATTTATCTTATTTATTACAGCAATTTCTACTCAACATTTTAGTTGACATTTAAGGTGACGTTTTTTGGCTTTCAAGGAGATACAACATTGGATGCAAAATGACTTTTTCACAGTTTTAGACCAAGTTCTCATCCATTAAAGTGTGTGTGTGATTTTGAATATGGCATATACTACATATAAACTTGTCTAAACCACTAAAGAGAGGAATGAAGATAAGATAAAACTTTATTGATGTCACAGTGGTGAATTTTACAAATCCGCCTTCTCCTTTGTTTGTGGCAATTCATTATATTATTTACAATCCCGGTCCAGAGAACACATCACCCCCGTCCTGCAGCAGCTCCACTGGCTCCCTGTTCAATACCGCATCCATTACAAGCTCCTTCTCAGTAACCTGGCCCCGCCCCGTACCTTACTGAGCTCCTACAACAGCACCAACCCACCCGCCGCCTTCGCTCAGCCCATTCCAACCTCCTCACTCCCATCACCCCCACTAACCGCCGGACCCTGGCAAAAGCTCTCTCTGATCTGGTCTCCCTCTTTGGTCTCTCACTCTCTCTGCTCTCTCTTTAGTCAGTCTGTCTCTGGTCTCTCTCTGATCTCTCTCTGGTCTCTCTCTCTGGTCTCTTTCTCTGGTCTCTCTCTGGTCTCTCTCTGGTCTCTCTCTGATCTCTCTCTCTGGTCTCTCTCTGGTCTCTCTCTGGTCTCTCTCTGGTCTCTCTCTGGTCTCTCTCTCTGGTCTCTCTCTCTGGTCTCCCTCTCTGGTCTCTCTCTGGTCTCTCTTTAGTCAGTCTCTCTCTGATCTCTCTCTGGTCTCTCTCTTTGGTCTCTCTCTGGTCTCTCTCTCTGGTCTCTCTCTGGTCTCTCTCTTTGGTCTCTCTCTGGTCTCTCTCTCTGGTCTCTCTCTGGTCTCTCTCTTTGGTCTCTCTCTGCTCTCTTTTAAACACTTTATATTGACATATATATTGTTCCTTCTCTGTGGTGAAAAGCTGACACAGGTCCAAACAACACACCAACCTTTCCCACTGTTCCCAGGTTTTAACGCAGAGGGAAAAAGCCAATTTAAGTCGACAAAATCACACTCAGTTCCAGACTAAGAACATTCCACATATGGGGCCGATAACCTCCTCTGGAAACACAGACTGTGGTTTGAAAACAGAGAAAGAGGGCTTCAGTTTCATGGTTAAATTATTCTAACCGTCTACGTTTGGACACGATGCCATTGTCCAGTAAAACAATGAAAGCTGAGGAAGCAGACTTTCCTTTTTTATCCAAAGGCGTCTTATAAAAGTAAAATGTGGAGAACAAAAGAGCCCAGTGAGTCACTAGTCGACTCGTCAGGCTGAGAGCTGATTGGTTGAGGCAGGGTGGTCCATTTTTTTCACTTTTCTGTCTGAAAAAGCGTATCTAAAATGTGACCAATATAAATGTATGCGAAAAATAGCGATAGAAACTGTTTTAGAGATGGACAATATTAAGTGGCTTAGGGTTGAAATTTGGGTACCCCAGCTTTAATAAATATGTGTATTGCACCATCACCAAGATATTATGTGATTCTTTCTATCTGGTTTTGCTCAGCACTCGTAGTTCCCATGTGTATAAGCTTTATTATACAAATAAACGTACCTTGTCGTCGATGGACACAGGTAAAGTGACTTTTCTCCTGCAGCTTCAGCAAACACATTTGACACGGACGGAAACTCCATGAATTATGATAAACAGCCGACAGAAGAATGTGTCATCTTCCTGAACAACAACATGGCTCTCTCTGCGTTCACAAACCCGGTAAACAAAACGATTAGTCAAGTCTCTATCTGGATCTTCTTTAACGGAGGAGGACGCCGTGCTGTGGGCCGCGGTGACAGATTCAGGTTAAAAAGCCCGGGACTAAAACACGATGTCGCCGCCTTTGTTGAGCAGAAGAAAAGCTAAAGCATTTATGAAACTCATTACGGTGCAATTAATTAGTGCGAGCGTTCAGCCGGCCTGACCTATGACTAATGATTCTGCGGTTAGAAGTCCGGGCGTCAGTGTTGTGTTGTCGCAGCTATTCTCGTCACAACTCTCTCTTTAAGATTCTCAGAACTTTCTTCCACTGATTAGATCATTTTCTCTCATTTAAGCACATCTATATTTAAACAGAAAAGGGGTAAAAAGATAGTTTTTTTTGTCGTGAATCAAGTGGAAAGAGAGCGTGGATTGATTCTGTTGATTACGGTTTCTTTCTTTATTTCAACATGCGTACATTAAAATCAGTTCTTATCTACAGAGTGCTTTTCCTACGTAAGGAAACACAAATATCTTCAAAGTCCACACCACACAAGTTACAAATCATCACATAAAACAAACAACAACAATTTACACCATTTAAAACACTGTTAAAAAGAGTAGCGCTGAAACCCTGTCTAAA